CAAAAAAATAAAATAAAATAAAATAAAATAATAATAATAATAATAATAAAATGAATTGCATTGGGTCGGGGTGATAGCTCAGTAGAATAAGCACTTCCCTGGCAAGTACAAGGGCCTGAGTTCAATCCCTGGTTCTGGAAAAAAAAAAAAAGAATTGTATGTCATGTGAATTATATCTCAGTTATTTAGAAAAGGTGCTCCCAAAACAATACAGACTTAAGTCATTCTTGACTTTTCCCTACTGAGCTCAGAATTAAAGGAGCAGCTAGTGGAGATTTTTTAGGACCAATTGAAGGACATAGAGATGTCCTAGGATAAAAGTGAGAAAAGTGGATGTACAAGAAGCAATATAAATGACTTATGGAGTTTAAAAGGCAGAACTAAATAGAAGCAGACAAGGAAGAAAAAAGTTTGGTTTCTATACTCAAAACCCCTTACACTACCAAAATATTCATTTATTCAAAAAACTTAACACATGTTTAACATTTATGAACTACCAAGCAGAACGCTACACATTTTTTAGGTTGTATTGTTTAATACAACCTATGACACAGTTACTATACTTTTTTTTTTTATTTAGTGTGTGTGTGGCCAGTTCAGCCCACCAGGGGGCGGGGCTGGCTGGCATGTGGTGCGGGGGATTGAACCGCGGTCCCTGTGTTTTTGCTTAGCTTAGCTTGTTCTAAGTAGGTGCTTTAGACCACTGAGCCATCTCACCAGCCCGAAATGGCAGAAGTGTTTTTTGTTGGTTTTTTTGCGCCGAATGCCTTCAAGGCATGACTGGCTGTCTTGTGTTGTGGGGATCAAACCACAGCAACCTGAGCCTGACTGCTTTGTTGAAGCAGCCACTTAAAGAACTGAGCTAAGGGGCAGGCCCCCCTATACTTTTTGTTGTTTGTTTTTGGTTTTGTTTTTTGGGACAGGGTCTCACTACATAGTTGAGACTGGCCTTAAACTCATTATGTACCCCAGGCCAGCCTTGAAATTGAGGCAATCCTCCTGTATCAGCCTTCTCAGTGCTGGGATTACAGGTGTGTACCACCATACCTGACAAGGCAGTTACTATTATTATCTTCATTTTTTGAATAAGAAAATAAAGATTTAGGCTGGCAAAGACCACACTAGGAAGGGGCTTCAAAGCCAAAACTGTGATCTAATACTTTAAGAGTTTAGTCAGCATTCTTTCTGTATATGACAAAATATGAAAAGAGAAATGAAGGAAGTTACTAAGGCACCACAAGTCAAGAGTTTCTGACTCAAACACCAGGAGCTGCAAACCTCAAAGTTAGGAGCAACAACAATCATATAATTTCACCCTGTTCATTACCTAGGTTCTAGTTCCTAAATTGCTAAGCAACAATTGGATTTTAAAAGTATTTCTCCACTTGAATTATAATCTTACAATGGAATGTTACACATAGCAGCTGTTGAGAGAACCACATGAAGACAGGAGCGGATTTCAGGACATACAAACAGCTGACAGATACTTTAAGAATCTCACACCATAAGTTTGCAGACCAAAATTAGAGAAAAAGGAGGGCTGCAAGGAAAGCCAACATCTTGGCCCTCGCCTTCCAAGGTCAATTAAGACTCAGGACGTAAGAGATCTTGCACTGTAATGTCATGTAACTCAGTAGTGTCCCAAATTTTCTGTATAAGGAGATTATGGGGCCAAAGAGGAAAGTGATCGATAATGTAGAGTATGCCTAAGGAGAGTCACATGGAGAGAAAACATTCTCTCAGGCTTTCATGGGGAGCACATTGGCCAAGCAATGGCCATGACTCATCCACATGGCTGACACTGACGAAGGATCTACAATCTGAGGTACAGGGTCTCAGGACAAATCTTGAGGGGACTTGACTGACCTTATCAGATCTAAAAGCTACAACTCTTGTTGCATAGGTCTTGCTTTATCTTGGCCTTAACTATCCAGCAGAAAAGTACAAAAACGAAGTATAAGAAGTAAAGCCAGGGCTGGTGAGATAGCTCAGTGGTCTAAAGCACCTACTTAGAACAAGCGTGGCAATGCACAGGGACCGCAGTTCAATCCCCCAGCACCACATGCCAGCCAGCCCCGCCCCCTGTTGGGCTGAGCTGGCCACACACACACACACACACACACACAAATAAATAAAAAAAATTAAAAAAAAAAAAAAAAAAAGAGAAGAAGAAGAAGAAGAAGTAAAGCCATGTGGTTACGTTGAGCTGTAGGGGACTCAGGTCAACAGTTTCTGACACTGCCTGTCAAGCGGAAGACCCAATACTATTATGGATTACTGCACTCTTTTAGAATATTGTGCTGAGTTAACACACCAAAATATTCAAATGACAGAACTAAACAAAAAAGGGGATAAATGAATGTCCATTTTGTATCTGTGTATTCAAAATGGTTAGGATAGATATATAGTTATATTTTCTTAATGAATAGAGGGATTTGTTGTAATAGTGTTTGTAAATAGGATAGCATGTCTGCATCTTGTACAGCAAATAACCACTCGGAAGACAGTATGCAATGTGTTAATTATTGAAACTGTCCTACCAATTTAATTTGAAACTGTTTCATTGCTATTTGTCTCTCAATAAAATTATGGGGGGGGAATAAAAGAATCTCACACCAAGCTGGGCATGGTGGTGCACAACAAGTATTGAGAGAAGTGACTAGGGCAAGCTCATTCTGGGCACTTAAGACAAAAAAAGAGACAATATCGTAACAACATATTATATTTATGGCCTTGGTTGCTAACTACACAGACCTAGTGTAAAAAAAGATAAATCTTTGCCAAAAAGCTGTGTTTATAAAGAACAAATCCATGATCCTCCTGCTTTAGCCTCCCTAGTGCCAGGGTTACAGGCATGCACCAACACACCACACTCAAAGTCAAGGTATAGTTGCCCTAATCATCCTTAACCTAGCACACTATATTCAATTCACCAATGAAATTTTACTAAGTACCTCCTACTTGCCTGGCCATTTGTGTCACAAGCTGGAAATGTACTGGAGTAGAAAGAAAGACAGCACTGTTCTTCCTACTTTACTGGGGTGAAGTGCACAAAACACTGCATTAGAAAAATACACCTCAACACACTAAACTACCAGTTCATCCAAAGCACAAGCTCCTTTTTGTTATAGCAATGCTCAACTTCAGCACTACTGACACTCTGCCTCTCCTTGGGGAGAGGAGGCTGTCCTGCACACTGCCTGATGCTTAGCAACATCATGGCTTCTTTGTACTTGGTATCAGAAGCCACAACTCTTGAGTTGTGACAATTAAAGCTGTCTTCAAACTCTGTCAGATCCCAAAAAGGAAAATTCCCCTGGCTCAAAAGCAGTGATCTAGGGCTTTCTCAAGGACTGCCAGTGACCCAGTCTTTTTACTTTTTACTTTGTGGTACCGAGGACTGAATTCAGGAAGCACTGAGTGACATCCTATGCCCTTTTTTTTTTTTTTAAATTTATTTATTTATTTATTTGTGTGTGTGTGTGTGTGTGTGTGTGTGGCCAGCTCAGCCCACCAGGGGGCCGGCTGGCTGGCATGTGGTGGCTGGGGGATTGAACCGTGGTCCCTGGGCTTTGCTAAGCTTGTTCTAAGTAGGCGCTTTAGACCACTGAGCCATCCCACCAGCTCCATCCTATGCCCTTTTAATTTTATTCTGAGGTTGAGTCATAAGTTGCCCAGGGTGGCCTCGAACTTGCCATGGTCCTAGCTCAGTCTGTGGGAGTAGATGGGATTACAGGAGTGGGCTCCTGTCCTCCAACCAATCTTCTCCACATGTCCTTCCAATCTCAGCTCATGCTTCATGTCCCCAGGGAACGACTCCTTGGTCGTCCTGGCACGAGTCTAAGGACTTCTCAAGTTGTGCCTGTCCCCCAATATTTTTCCCCTTGAATTCATCTTTATGATAACAGCTCTTCTCTCCCGTATTGGGCGTCGAACCCAGGCCTTCCTGTATACGAGGCATCCCTAGTCCCTAACGCTGGCACCTCGTTTTGCGTTCTCTGTAAAATCTCTCCACCCTACACTTACTGAATGCTGAGTAATATTCGCTTTAACATCCAGTCGGCCTCCAGGGACTCTGTACTCCCTAAGGGCAAGGAGGGCGGTGCCTAACACAAATGCTATGGAGGGAATGACAAGAACAAAGCAAGACAACCAGGGAGGCCAGGCGTCCGGGCCACCAGGAGTCAGGGGACGCCAGTATTTTGGGGAGGCTCAGGCAGAGAAACCCGACCGGGATGGGGGGGGGGGCGGTCACTCGGCGCATGCGCACTCCGCTGTCCCGCGTCCCCCACAGAGGCCGGTCGCTTTGCCAGAGCTACGCAAGAAGGGGCACGGTGTGCTACTACGACTGGGGGCCGGAGAAGAACTTACGCGGACTATAAGATGGTGACGAAATCCCTCACTCAGGGATACTGCCAGCGGCCACCACGTCTACCTCAGGCGGCGGTTGCGTCTCTCAGCTTGACTAACGGCCGTTACACGCGCGCCAGGCCGCACACCCAAGAGCGCGCTCCCCCCAGCCCCGCCTCCCTCTGCCTACCTCTGACCAATCAGGAGTCAAGTTTCAGGAGTCTCCCGCCCCTTTTTTGCCCACCTCTGACAAATCAAGAGTGCAGCCGCGCCGGTGTCCCGCCCCTGCACGCTGTCCTCGGCGCGGGCCAGCCCAGTCGCTGTGCGCATGACCCCGCCGCCCCAGAGCCTTCTGCTTGGCTGAGTGCCGTCCTACCTGGAGGCGGAGGCGGGCGCCCCCAGCTGCGGAAGGACCCCTGTGCCTCAGCAGGTCGCGAACCCGGCGGCCAGGCCCTGTGGGACTCTCACCCTCCTCCTTTCCCACTGCCCTCTATCAGTCAGCTTTGCTGTAGCGAGGGCTTTGCGACCGGGGTTTAGGATGGCGCCTATGTCACTGGCTAGTCAGTGTTAGGGCTTAGTCTGTTGGTCTATCAGCTTGAATGAATAATGAACTTGGGTGTGACAGGATGGATGAAGTTAGTGGGTAGGCTCTCAAATTAGAACCTGTTACTGGGAGTGATGTCGAACGCCTGTAATCACAGAATTCTGGAGGCTGAGGCAGGAGGTTCTCTGTGAGTTGGAAGCCAGCCTGGACTACATAATGGAGTTCAAAGCCAACCTGAACTAGATAGCGAGACCTTCTCCAAAAAAGAAAAAAGAAAAGAAAGAAAGAAAGTATGACCTGTTAATATCATTGTTAAATCTGGCAATTTGAAAGATTCCATCAGCCACTTTCAGGCCCCCATAAATTCTTCAGTCTTTTGCCTTCAACCTGTCAAAGTGGCAGAAAGTTGGATGCTCCCACTTGGTGGTTTCTGTTTCTTTTGTGAAGAGTTAGGAAACAGGAACATGTGGAAGATTTGAGAGGAATGGGGGAGATTTAAAGAAATGCAGAGACATGATGAGGAACGAGTTGAGATTTAAATTTACAAATGGCTGCCAAGAGTTGTGGTGCACTCCTGTAATCTGAATTAATGGGTAGGCAGAGGAAGGAGGACTTCAAATTCTCCAAAGTTACTCCAGGGCAACTTAGTGGGACCCTGTCTCAAAGAAAAAGAAAAAGTGGTGTGCACCTGTAAGCCCAGCTCTTGGGAGGCTGTAAACAGGCAGATCACTATGATGATCTGATCTAGTAGTGAAACCCTGAACACCTTGTAGACCCTTCCCTAAAAAAATACAAAAAAAAAAAAAAAAGTGAAGAAAGTCTGGGGCTGCAGTTCAGTGGTAGAGCACTGCCCTCTAGGCCCTAAATTAAATCCACTGTACGAAAAGGTACCATTTGTACAATTTTTTCAGTGTTTATCTATAGTATAAAAGTAACTCTGAGGGCCAGGGAGATGGCTCAGTGGAATAAGCGCTTCCCTGGCAAGAGCGAGGGCCTGAGTTCAATCCCCGTTTTTGCAAAAAAAAAAAAAAAAAAAAAAAAAAAGTAACTCCGTTATCTACCACAAACTTTCAAATATGAGTCCACACTTAAATTTTAGTAGACTTTGCCTCTAATTTTGAAAAATATTAACAATTTTGATATTCTTAAATCTTCAGTTATTTTTAAAAGACTAGCTGTATATTTAATAAAATGTATCAGTAAAAGTATACCACGCAACATGACTAAAAGAAAAGGGACTGGATTTGGCCAGATAAGTCTATCCCAATATAAATGCAAATCATTTATGATTTGATAACTAGTTATGTTAACTGCTTTCATGTGCAAAATGTTGCCTGGTAGACTATTATATGAGCATTTGTTGTTACCCAACACCCACCAAGTCTTCTGGAACATGATCAACTAAGTTTAAGTTCAGTAGCTTTCTTGTTCGTTTTGTTTTGTTTTGTTTTGTTTTGTTTTGTTTTGTTTTGTTTTGTTTTGTTTTGAGACAGGGTTTCACTATGTAGCCCAGGCAGGCCTCAAACTCTCACCAATTCTCCTCCCTCAGCCTTCTGAGTGCTGGGATTATAGGTATGCACTGCCAAACCTGGCTCAATTTTGTTTTATTCTACTTCCTTTTTTTAGATATTTAGGAGCCAGGGAGATGGCTCAGTGGAATAAGCACTTCCCTGGCAAGTGCAAGGGCCTGAGTTCAATCCCCGGTTCCGCAAAAAAAAAAAAAAAAAAAAAGATATTTAAGCACAGCAGAGTCAACATTTTGCCCTTCATGACGTCTTTTAAATTTGAAAATAAAGGCAAGCCCTTCACTAGAAGGGCATTTTTTTCTCTTCCCTGAGCTGATGTTAGATAACTGGCACTCACAATTTAAAGGAAGAGAAGTTTAATTTGGTTCATGGTTTTAGAGGCTTCAGTCCAGGGCCCACTGGCTCCCACGTGGTAACAGCACCTGGTGGAAGGGTGTAGCAAAGGAAAGCTGTGGAGCTAGGGCAGCCAGGAAGCAGAGAGATGAGGGAGGAGCTGGGACCAAGAGATAACAGCCTTCCACTTTAGGTCCCCAGTGGCCAGCCCCATCCTTCCAGGCCCTGTCTCCAAGTACTAGATTTTTAAGGACCATTTTAAATATAAAATATAACATTAAATGATTAGGGCTGGTGAGATGGCTCAGTGGTCTAAAGCACCTACTTAGAACAAGCTTAGCAAAGCACAGGGACCGCGGTTCAATCCCCCAGCCCCACATGCCAGCCAGCCCCGCCCCCTGGTGGGCTGAGCTGGCCACACACACACACACACACACATAAATAAAATTTTTTAAAAAATTGTTAAATTTGGGAACTGGCAGTGTAGTTCAGGGATAAGGTTGTTCCCTACCGTGTTTCAAGATCCTAGGTTCAATGATGAGCCCTAAAAAACCAAACAATAACAACAAAGCCCTGTTAATTTAAATTAGCAGTTGTTGTTGTTGTTGTTGTTGTTTGTTTGTTTTTAAGACAGGGTCTCACTGTGTAATTCAGTCTGGCCTGGGAACTTGTAGCAATCCTCTTGTCTCAGCCTCCTGAGAGTTGGGATTACAGACTCACATGCCTGGTTAATTTAACTTGCCTGGACCAATATTTTTTCTCTGGAAAAATTATATTAACATAATGATGTTAATACCAATAAAAACAGCATTTCAAACACAAAAACAGAGAGAGAGAGAGAGAGAGAGAGAGAGAGAGACAGAGAAGCAAAGTGCCTTCCTATGCTACTTAGAACAAGCTTGCCTTCCTATGCTACTTAGAACAAGCTTAGCAAAGCCCAGGCACCACGGTTCAATCCCCCAGCACCACATGCCAGCCAGCCCCGCCCCCTGGTGGACTGAGCTGGCCACACACACATAAATAAAATTTAAAAAAATAATGAAGAGGGCAAAGGAAAAGACATTTTCCTCTGTTAAATACATTTAACCCTTGTTCTGGAATTGCAGGATTCTTGCCCATGTTGCACAAGACAGAACTTGGTGTCAAGTGGCCCACGGTCCCGGAACTTCCCCTGGAATGAGACAGAGTTCCTATGTGGAAGCAGAGCTCACCCGGTCCAAAAAACTCTTCCATTTTAAGAATGGGATGGGGCGGGGGAGATGGCTCAGTGGAATAAGCGCTTCCCTGGCAAGTGCAAGGGCCTGAGTTCAATCCCCGGTTCCGAAAAAACAAAAAACAAAAACAAAACAAAACAAAACAAAAAAAAGAATGGGAAAACTAAAGACCTGTAGAGAATAAAGTAATTTCTCACTCCACTTTACTGCCTGTCCTTCAGTCCCACTGACCTGGAGCCCTGGTTTTATGGTCAGATCATACAGCAAGGAGAACAGAATTCCTTGCTGCTTAATGGCCATGCCTGCCGCACCTCTCCCCATGGTACGCAGCCACCTAACCCCACACAAAGAATTTCAGAGATGGAAAGAGAAGGCAGGGTGAGGAAGAACAGCCCAATACTCAGCAGGTGTGTCCCTTACAAGACAGTTGCTGGCTCCACACTAGCCCAGTCTCCAACCCCTGGTCACTGTAACAGGACAGTTTCGTTGCCTCTCTTCCTCCTCTCGACCTGTGCCTCAAGCAAGTAAAGTAGAAGCCCAGCACACGTGATGGAGGTGTCC